GCGGCGTGTGACTCTTTTGAACTTCCATGTCCGGTGGATGTCAAGTGATGCAGGTCAGGAGTAGAAGTTCTCGGCCAACTTCCTCATTCTCTTATTGTAGGGTTTACTCTCGGGTGCTGGAGCGGCGCTGCGACATGTAACGTCTGTCATCGAGTCCGTCTCGTTTAGAAAATGAGGCATGGCGTTATCATATGAAACACCCTGGAGCCCGGCTGTGAGCATAGGAAAGTCCGGCACATCTAAACCTTCTATTTCTTTACTGATTGGTTCCTGATCTATTGTGTCCCCTTTCAACTCGCCTTTGGCAAGATTTGGATGGTAGCACTGATAATATATCATTTTACAAAAGAGGCCGAGCATATAAACTGCAACGACACAGACGGCAATGATTATAGCATACAAGTGCGGAATTTTATAATAAGGCGGGTCTGTACTCATCATCCAGTACCACAAACCGCAGAGGAGGAACATATCGAGCAGTATGTAGCCATGATAGAGCAGAGTCCTGTACCTCGTCTTCCCCTCGGCCACATTAAACCAGTTGAAATACCAAATGAGGCCTACGGTGGCTCGGAAAAGCCATTCTCCGCAAGGGCTCTCCATGAAGTCAGTCTTGGATCGCCAGACGAAGAACAATAAAATTATCCAAGAGCAGAGGAAGTGGGTGACAATGAAGCAGGGCAGCACGGAGGCGAAAAGGGCGAGGGCGGTGAGGCGAGACGAGAGGAGAAACAAGTTCCAGAGAAAGTAGACCACCGATGACATCAGCGGCTGCGGCTTCTTGTCGGCCAGGAAGGAGCGCAACGAGCGGTGGTACATGGTCACGCTGAAGGCGACGGCTGAGGCTGAGCCCAAGGCCTTTAACACTGCGGAGGAGAAGAATAAGCCGTCAATAAAATGAATGAATGAATGAATGAATGAATGAATGAATCAGGCCCAGACGTGATTGTAATCCAAGTATTATAAAATTAACTAAACGTATTCTGAATAATATATGTTTAATATATTTTCTGTCACTAGGGGGTCTCTCACATCAAAACAATAACAAAAGTCGCAGGTTTGATGACGTGAAGTAGCGTTGGATCATGGGATCAAACGAACCTGATGATTAAAACACCGAATAAAGCAGCTTCACCTTAAACATCAGTGTTTCTGTGACGCTGTTCTTCGGCAGACAGAGGATGTTCTTGGAGGAGCTGCTGCTAACGTTAGCTCAGCCTGTTTCTCTGATAACTTAAGATTCAAATGTCTGATGACTAAAATCCTTCATCTGGTTAAAATATAGAGTTAAAAACAACCAAGATCTAAAGAGTTTATCATAAAAATGCGCCTTGAACCTGGATAAAAGGTCACTTTCTGACAGACAAACACAACACATGCACAAAGTTTGAACATCGTTGGAAACATTTGGGATAATATAGGGATATATAGCCTTTTTATTTTATATGCAGCGTTTGGAGTGAGACAGCTGTAAAACTCAGAAACTATACTTTCACTTTCACTTTCACACAAGTATTGCAACCAACAGCTCCAAGAAAAGCTGTAATGGCACAATCAAGGAGCTAACATCGGGGTAAGTTCTTTGTGACATAATAATCAGGTCGCTTTCTTTTTCGTTTTTGGTCATTATTGACGCATTTGAGAAGCCTTTTTACATTGTTTATTCATTGTAAAATCCAGAATGCCCAAGATATTCAAGTTTGTTCCTGTTAATCTTTTTTACTCCACAAACTTAATTCACCTCTAAAATCTACACACACACACACACACACACATATAAACCAAACCTGTCTGCACTCTAAAAAGGTACAGCTAAGGGTGAAGAAGAACATAGTAAGGTACTGTACCTGTCACAGGATCGAGCTCTCCCCGCTGCAGAATGACAGTGAGCATGAGCACGAGCTGAGGCGAGCTCTCCGCGAAGGTCTCTATGAGCCGCAGCATGCTGAGGTCGTGGCTCAGGTACTCTGCCATGTCCTTTGGGTCACTGCTTTTTGTGAAGTAGCTGCATACAGACATCTCAAAGACACCTGCATGCCTGAGAAGAAGGATAGAAAACTCAGTTACTTGTAATGAAAATATATTAAAACATAATAATACCTGGTTATCATTAGTTAAATCATGTAAAAGGACAGTAATTCTGATTTCTTTGGCAGTGTTTTCATACATATCAGTGTCACTTTGGTTCAAACAAAACCAGTTTAGCAATTAACTACTGTAAAGAAGGAAACTCGTGCAAATAGTTTTTACTATTTCCAAGCAAGACAACACACAAATGAGGCTACCATTACAAACCATTACAAAAATACACCATGTAAAGAGGAAACAGATGATGTAATCCGTAGGAGAAGATGACTTAATGTTGATTTCTTCTCCACATTATGGCCCAGAGTGAACGGCTACAGTACAGTATGATAGCGCCACACAATTACTCCATTCAGATTATTTATTTGGCATTTTTCCATAACCGGGTTCATGTGAAAGGGCCGAATGAATGAGGGTGGAGCTCTCAGAGAAAGAGCCACACGTAAAAGAGAAACTGCCTTTTTGAAACAGAAACACATTTACACATTTACACAAACTTCAAATTACAACAGACAGAAAATCAGCCTGAAGCTGTTTGAAAGCACCAGGATTATTATAGTATACAAGGCTTACGCAACCTGAAGTAGATTCCCAGCTGCAGCACATGGAGAAGTTTGAGCACTTTCTTGCTCAGGCACTTCTCAACCTTCGTCCGTCTGCCAAAGTCGTCGTAGCTGTACCACAGCCAGCTGAAAGCCTGGACGAGAACGGACGAGCCCACCAGGAACAGCAGCAGGAAACCGAGGGGCACATAGGCCTTTTCCAGGTAGAAGGAAACAACAGCAAACACATCCAGAGCTATGTCGAGCAGCAGGAATATCAGACCCACACAAGTGAAGAGGAAGTCCACTGGGGAGTACTTGAACACAGCAATAGCCATTGTGTCTGTCAAAGTAAAGTTCTCACTCAAACTAACTGCCTGCTTCTAGTCTGGCTACATACTTCAGGAAAGAGTTGTTTCCACTCACTTGTTAACTTCACAAGACAACCGAAAGTAAGGCAGAAGTCCGGTATTTAGATCTGCTCCACAACCCCTCCCCTTTAGGGTGGTGTGAGATCTTAAAGGCAAAGTGTGCTAATGTATATGATCATTACCAGTTTACGTACACACAACTTGAATGCGGTTCCTTTAACAACTACACCACAGTTTATCAGGTGTGGACAGAGAAACACAAGTTAAAACAGAGAATACCACAGCGTTACAAACTTTAATAATAATTGCGCATGGCAAATGAGGTAAAAGATTAACAACCAGCAGTGGCCTTGACTTTTGGTTTCAGCAGTGTGTGTGGCAAAGAAGTGGCTCTAGGACATCAACAACATGTTTGAACATCTGCAGGATCAAACTTTAACATTAAAACAACCTCGAACTAAGTTAACATTAAATAAAACATGCTGTCTGAAACACTGCGTCTGTGTGTAGCACAGTTTTCCTCACAGCACAGAGAGAAAGGTGTGCTCTGATCGAGAGGTCTCACATTTAAACAAGCTAAACAAACACTGGATGACGAGCAGTAACACTGTGGTTTGTGTCACCTTTAGTTAAATAAGTACAAACACTTCTGACGACGCCATAAATGTGATGGTGAAAACTAAAAGAGCTGTTTGGCACAGCGACAGGACACAGCAGTGATTAAAGGAGAACTTATGGTCAAATCTACATTCAAAGTCCTTCAGCAGGTTCCTGTAGCAGCTGTAACCCAAAAACACAAAACAGATACTCGTTGTCATGTAAAAACCTCATCTGGCAAATTAATTTAAATTTTGACATAAGCTACATAAATTGAGAAAAGCTTCAGCTATTTTTTCAGCTATTATTATTATTATTAAATATTACAGATAACATATTTTTATTCATTCATTGTTTACCTCGTTGTCAAGAAACAAGGTTGTTTTCTTTTCCTGCAGGTGTTCACACGACAGCAACAACAAACAGTCGTATGGTTTGTATGAAAAACACAAAGTTGTCTCCCCTCTTCTAAACATGTACAAACTGACATGAACAGATTACAACATGAGCTTTGGAGAAAATGTATAAAGATTAACTAACAACTTCCCTTTGTTAGTTTATTGACTAGCATAACGAGTTACTCAAGTTTCAAGTAGAGATATGACATAAAACAGATTGTCTATGAACTATGATGGAAAGGTTTATGGCAACACTGGATTTTTATTTGGTATTTGCGTCAATTTGATTTATAATTTAATGTCGGTCATTACTATTAATGTTTAAACCGATCATAGTTTCATGTCTTTGAGCCTTTAATGTTTTAGACCAAATGTAAAAGGCACAAAAGTCACACATTCTCGATCATGCTGCTTATAAAGTGAATTATTGAGCTGGAATGAAAATAAAGAAAGATTTTGAACCCAGAATGCTGCTTTCATAAACAAAAACAACTCTATTGAAGAATACTTAAGTTAAATATCCATTAACATGTTAACAGAAAGGTTACATCGTCAACCAACTCTAGAAAGAAAGAATAAATAAAAAATAAAACAGCTAAAACATCCGTACAGTAAAAACTACAATCATTGTTGCATTATATAATCATGTAACCGTTCATATTGGCACATATCAGATGACATACACCGATATGTGCGGTAGTCTAATGACGGCCAACCGATATATGGATCACAGAGCACGTGAGCTCGAGCCTGGCTGCTTATAGAGAGATTCTTTATAATATCTTCATAATAACTTCATGAATCATGTGTATAAGCAGGTTGATCTGCAGCATTACACACGAAGCTGCATCGAACAGCTTAAACGGGGTTTTAAGATCAAATTAAAACAGAAGTTTGTCTTAATTTTTTGCCCCGAGAGGCTTTGAACATCTGCAGCTCACATGCTCTGATCTGAACATCTGCTGCAGCACAAACAGGCGACAGCACACAGATTGTTTATCACTTGAAGGTAACGTTGATCACAGATGCGACGACTCCGCTCCCTTCGTGCTCTCAGCGGTTCTAAGGACCTCGCGTTCGGAGTAGAAATGAGTGGCGTGGCAGGCCATCCGTTTGTTGAGGAGCTGGGAGGACAGGGAGCCGTCCTGGATGGAGAAGTCTCTGAAGGACACGTCCGCATCGGGCAGATCCACGGGCGGCCCCGGGTCCCTCACGGGGGGCCTCCACAGCTTGGGGTGGAAGCAGCAGTAGTAGACGGCTTTGAAGAGCAGCCCCAGGAGGTAGGTGAACAGCAGCGTGAGGAGCAGAGGGAGAGCGTACGGCTCCGTCCGGACGGCGTCCCTGTAGCACCACCAGGTCGCCAGCAGGATCCCTCCGTCGGTGGTGATGAAGGTGTGGTAGATGATGCTCCGGCCCCTGGTGCGACCCTCTGCCACGTTAAACCAGCTGAAGTACCAGATGAGCCCTACGGTGGCCCGGTAGAGCCACTCGCCACCCGCGCTGTCCATGAAGTCAGTCCTCTGTCGCCAAGCCCACAACACGAACGCGGACCACAGCAGCAGGAGGTGGGCGGCGATGAACCCGGGCAGGACAGAGGAGAAGAGGGCGAGGGCGGCGACGCGCGGGGCGATCAGCAGCAAGTTCCACAGGAAGTAGATCAGCGAGGAACCCCAGCCCTGCTTGGCTTTGTCCGGGAGGAAGGAGCGCAGCGAGCGGTGGTAATCCACCACCATCCACGCTATGGAAGTGGTCGACGCGGCGACGCTCACGACTGCAAACAGAGAAGTTAAAACCGTCACAGAAACCGAGAGGAAGTGCGCGCAAAACACTTGCGGCGTGCGTTGACTTACCTCGACCCGGAGAGCTACATTCACACGCAGAACACAACCCACGACTGCTGGTTTGTTCTGGTTCTGTTGGGAGGTTTAAAGTTAAATTAAACTCACACTGAACGGTGCGGGCCTTGTGCGTGCACAGCATCACGTAGATCATCAGGGTGAGCTGAGGAGCGCTCTCGCAGAACGTCTCGATGAGCCGCAGCATGCTGAGGTCGTGGGTCAGGTAAACGGCGTACTCGGACCCTTCCTGCTTCCGCCACCAAACCCTGAAGCCCTGACGTATGGCGGAGATGTGCCTGCGTGGATGAACGGACACACACGGGTTCATTTTGTGCTTTCACTCAAACGTTATTGAGCATTCGTAAAAACATTCGTCTCTCTCGTGGCGATTCTGGATTTACTCGTTGCCACGCCCGACGTCTCCGTTCACGCTCACGGCACCTGTCGCCTGTGATTACCCACCTGCCTGCCTGAACCCTCTGGAGGAACATCCAGTTTAATCTACAGAGAGAGAGAGAGACACTCCTGAGCCTGGGAATCTCTCCGAGGAGCGTTTGTTAGAGGGTGTTTGCGTCACTCAGGCTGTGGCGTTTGATTTCATGTAACTTCCTGTCGAAACACTTGGTGAAGAAATCTCATTAGTCAGACGAGAGTTTAAAGCCGCAGCGAAAACACGTTTGTTTGTTTGTTTGTTTGTTTGTTTTATTCCGTCGAGAACTTTAACATTTTAAATGAGGTTTGAGCGAACAACAAAGTGATCGGCTACGAACAACACGAACAACGCCAGTGTTTACCCTACTGTTTCATGTAAAACAATAATGGCTGCTGTGAAAAGGTTGCTCCTTTTTTTATTGATTGTAATCTATAATGATGCTAGTTTGATAATTCATTGATTATAACGACTGTATAATCTACTAAATATCCACTATAAAGCTAAATGTGCTAAAAAAACATCTAACTGCAACTATTACGACAGATATTGTGACATGATTCATGATTATTGATCATTTTTGCATCACAAATTCTTCATTTTCACTGACAAAAATATTAAAATTAAGTTTTCTGGGAGTCTGCAGCGAACAAACAGGTTTTCTTACACAATTCTTACATCAGTTTACAACACTGCTCATCTTCCGGTTGGGCCTTTAACCCAAAAAATGAAATCAATACAGTGTTTTTGAGAAACAAAACTAAATATTGTGATACAATTTTATTATTAATAGTTTCTACCACCCCTATACATTCATTAATTACTTCATTATAATGCTGTTTTCACTTTACTAAGTCATTATTTTAACATATTAAGGTAAATATTGATCAGGTTTATCATTCATTTAAGATACTAAGTCAAAGTGTATCATTATTTTAAGATATTATTACTATTAAGTGAAATTATTGATCAAGTTTATCCTTATTTTAAGATATTAGTTAAAATATTGATCAAGTTTCTCATTATTTTAAGATACGATTACTATTAAGTGAAAATATTGATAAAGTTTCTCATTATTTTAAGATAATAAGTGAAAATATTGATCAAGTTTCTCATTTATTTAAGATACTAAGTCAAAGTGTATCATTATTTTAAGATATTATTACTATTAAGTTAAATAATTGATCAAGTTTCTCATTATTTTAAGATATTAAGTAAAAATATTGATCAAGTTTCTCATTATTTCAAGATAATAAGTGAAAATATTGATCAAGTGTATCAATATGTGCAGATATTGATTTAGTATTGGTGCTGCCGGGTGGGCACCGTCACACTACCTGCAGAGGAAGCCCAGCTGCAGCACATGTAACAGGCAGGAGATCCTCACTCGGTCCCCGAAGAGCACCGTCCCTCCTCCGGTCTGCGCGCTGAACCCGGGCAGCCGCCGGTCGTACTTCAGCCAGAACCAGCTGAACATCTGGACCACGACCGACGACAGGACCATGAGGCCGACCAGCACCCCGAACCAGAAGAAGTCCCCGCGGCGGTAAAACTCGGCGGCGACCCACACGTCCGATCCCCAGTCCACCAGGAAAGTGCACACCCCGATCACCGAGAACACGAAATCGATCCAGGAATACTTTGAAAGAGCTGCCCTTCAACATCACCGCTTCCAGCCGTTGACTAACCGTTCCCCAACCGTTCCCCAACCGTTGACCAACCGTTCCCCAGCCGTTGACCAACCGACAGACCTGTTGCTGCTTGGGGGGGAGCTAATATTCGGCTAACGTCGTGTGCCGTTACTTCCCTCCCAAAAGCGGCTCCGCGGTCTTCAACCCATTGAAGACACACACGGAAAAGTTGCCCACACTTTGAGCAACAGGGTTGAACCGTGAACACCCCTCCCCCCCTCACTCCCTCCTCCCTGGTGTTAAAACGTTGCGGGCATGGCTCGAGGAACAACAACAACAACAACAACAACAACGTGTTGGCTCATTGGCAGCTGTAGTTGGGGGCTCAGAGCTGGGATGAAGGGGAGGTCTCACTCTGATGTGTTTCCAGGAGAATAAGACGGCTCTGTACTGGGCTGTGGAGAAAGGAAACGCCACCATGGTGAGAGACATCCTGCAGTGTAACCCCGACACTGAGACCTGCACCAAGGTGAGACCTGCACACACCTGCAGTGGTCCGAGCTCTGCTGACCGACGACCCGTGGCTTCATATTCAGTATAGATCAGTGCTGCTGTGAATGTAACCCAGATGTTACACAGATGTTGTGTTTGATGCTTCCTGTCTCAGGATGGAGAGACTCCTCTGATCAAAGCCACCAAGATGAGGAACATCGAGATCGTGGAGCTGCTGCTGGATAAAGGAGCCAAAGTGTCGGCTGTCGACAAGGTGAGAACCATAAAGACTCATCCACAAAGTCTGAAACAACTTCTGTTAATACGACATAAAACTGCTGTATATATATATATACTGTATATATATATATACATATACAGTATATATATATATATATACTATATATATACAGTATATATATATATATACAGTATATATATACTGTATATATATATATATATATACAGTATATATATATATATATATA